AGGTGTTATGCGCTAAGATTGGACTATGTATGACTAAAAATAGACATAGGTGTCCACCATACCCTGTATGCATGAAGGCCGATGCTCCAATCGAATGGGTATGCAAATTAAGGGAACGTCGCGCCTATTGCCGCGCGCGACGAAGCGGCAATTTACGATTCCCTCGTCCGATTGGGGGGGGGGCACGCTGCGCAGCTCCTCTGCGCCTCTCTCGCCGAGATAGTATCCAGCGTGTTGGCAAAAAAATTAACGATGAATGAACGCCTTATTTGTGATCGTGTTTCTCACCTTTCTGAGGTTTCCGGTAATGTTACTGCCTTTTTCAAAATCCATGATTATTCGCGAAATAACGAAAAGTCCATCACAATTCTTTGCGGTGCTGTAGCATGTCGATCTCCAATCGTTGTACTGATCACGGTGCTATTTGGGGTGAGGGGAGAGACAGCGGGCGCTGCTCTTCTGCTCCCTCCTTGCCGAGACAGTATATGAAAAAGCCATAGGTTTTTTCAGCTATCAGATTACAGGTTCGCGACGTCTGTAATCTGTAGGTGTGTAGCGGTGTTTCAATCCAGAAGATTGCAGGCTATACATAGTTATTATATCAGCATGATAAAGTTGAAAGGGAGGGGAACTTGGACGAGAGTGGAGGACAGTCGGGAGTGGAACATCACATGGTGAGTACTCACTACCTCTGTCACTGTCGTACCGTCACCCCAGTTGCCGTGCCAGCTTCCTGCGATCTTGGGCCCATACAGGACGTGGACTCGACACAGCATATGTACTTCTGCCGCTAAGCGCTCATGGTCAGTGCTGAAAAGTGCGTAGAAGCAGTAGGCAATGAATGAAGATTTTCGCCTATGCCGAGGAGGGAAGAACTTCGGAAAGCGGTGAATCCGCTCTCTAAGGCTGAGCCCAAGAGGTAATCGTAGTGTCATCCCTTGGCGCCAGCGCCAAGAATGAGTGTCATAATTGTAATCAGGATGGTAAATAACCCTTGTGTACATATTTTCAGCGGGTTTGGCGACTTAGGTAATTTAAAAATGAGCTCGGTGCCGAAGTTGCTGGAGTCCAAACGGCATTAGCCGCCGAGCATTAACTCGAAGGCGGCGCAATATTGCAGAATTCTGCAGCGGCTTGTTATTTGACGGCAGGGCATTGTTCAATGCTATTACACCTCCGTTGCTGAACCCGAGGATATGGGGAAAACCCGCCCCGCAATGAGTTCACCTCCCCAAAAGAATCAAGCTGAGGTAGCATTGGATGAAGCTGAGGTAACATTTTTCGATCGTTTTGATTTCCTTATTTAGTTTCTGTTATGGAGGATATTGTCGGACGCTTTTTGACAACTTTTTATACTTTTGGCCTCTACTACCTTTTCTCCCTTGATTCTGAAGATTTCTAAAAATTATTCGTAGTTTGCTCTGAACGCTACTGTTCAGACGTTGATTTCTTTCTCTGTTGAACCTATAAATGTTATTGTATTCACAACGTTGGACGTTCATCAACCTTCCTGTTATGAATTTTTTTATAACGACTCTAACAAGCTCGTCGCTATTCAACCATTACTGCCCCATAACCTCATGCTTTTTTTGCCGATGTTCGGCCTTCAGGGAGAGCAGGCGAACAGACCTCCAGAACTCTCTACATTTGCGCTCGCGCCAAAAATGAATGTTCAGGACCATAAAGGACCTCAGAATGCAAGTTTACATCCGTTCTGCTAAGGAAAGGTGATGGCACCGATTGGCATCAGCCTGCACCGGCATCTGGAACGGATGCCATATTTGTGATCAGGCCCTCGAGTGATCCCTGCAGGCTGAGCTCCAACGAAAAAAATTGATAGTTTGAGGTAGAACCAGTTGTATAGTTCACAAACTCGCCATGATGAAGGGTTGTAGCATCTTTGATGCTCTTGGATCCAATTTTCTTGCTATGATTACTCACTGCTATGAACACTTTTCTCAAATCTTTCAATCATCAGGGTATGGTGAACCAAACTCCCTTACAAAGTGATAGTCCCGGTGACGATGAAATGGCGAGCAGTTCTGAACCACATCAAGAAGACTCAACCATTGACGATTCGGCAACTCAGTTCACCGATGCTGAATGCCTCAAGACATACAGCTCAATGACGGTCAGTTTTGCGGTCGAATAACTTACCGGGGAAGTGCGCCAACTTACCATGGAACTTTGAATGGAGACCTGGGTAGATCGATAGAGTCTATAAGGTTATTTACAAATATAGATAGCAAAACTGCAACCTGCATTTCACAAGCAACTTATGAGCAGGTAAAGTTTGTAATGGTGCAGTAGGGTGGAGGCTTGGTGGTGAGCTGTGAAGCATAAGCGAGGAATCGCATACGTCGAATCGAGTCGTCGAACGTCGAACCTTACCACTGAACCACCACGACTCGATTCGACGTATGCGATTCCTCGCTTATCACAGCTCACCACCAAGCCTCCACCCTACTGCACCATTACAAACTTTACCTGCTCATAAGTTGCTTGTGAAATGCAGGTTGCAGTTTTGCTATCTATATTTGTAAATAACCTTATAGACTCTATCGATCTACCCAGGTCTCCATTCAAAGTTCCATGGTAACTTGGCGGACTTAGTAATGTGTTCAGTTTGGTCCCTTTGTCACACAAATTTCTATGCAGAACGAGGAGTGCCTAGGAAGGACGTAGGTACTGGAAGAGGGGTTCTGCACAGCTTGGCCACTGCGCTTTGCCAAGGCACATATTATTTTTCGGACTCCTGACCGTAAGGTAGATA